TTTCTACGAGAGCCTGGAGATGGACAACTATGTGGCATTGTCCAAGCGCGACCTCGAGCTTCAGATCAGTTTAAACGAAGTCTATGCGACTCATGCATTACTCGAGAAGCATAGCACCGAACTAGCCAAGGACCCTTCTTCTCACTTGGGAATCCTGCTGCAGGAACTTGGGCCAGCACCACCGCAATTACCCAGGAAAGAGAACAGGGCAATCAACCTGCCTCTCTTCAGCAAGTGGGAGGCAACTTTCGACGATCTGACTCACGCCCTCGACATCACTGCAGAAGAGATCCACTTTATGGAGGCGAAGAGCACCTTTGTACAGATCATGCGAAGCTTGCCGCAGAATGCGGTGGTCATGCGACGCCCACTTCGCCTTGACCGTGTTGCCGAAGCGGCGGGGACCCTCAAGAATGACGCCGTCATGGTACGGAAAGGCATTCGGTGCATGGAACTCCTAACCCAACTGTCTGAATGGGGAGTGATAGACCGTGCTGACGACTATGCGGTACTCCGTGATGAAGTTGAACAAGAGTTGGCCCACTTGGGCTCGCTGAAGGAGAAGGTCGTGGAGGAGACGAACAAGTTGGAGGATGTCTATAAGACGATTCGCGACCACAACGCATATCTTTTGTCCCAGCTCGACACGTACAAGAATTACCTGCACAATGTGCGAAGCCAGTCTGAGGGCGCGAGAAGAGGCAAAACGGAAAAAGTGCGAGAGCTCGGCCCATACAAATTCACCCACGCACAACTGGAGAAAGACGGTGTGATTACGAGAAGCAATGTTCCCGAGAACCGAAGAGGTAATATCTTCTTCATGTTCCGAAGTCCACTGGCAGGTACTTTCGTCATCAGCCTGCATTACAAAGGTGAGCCTCATAGCCTTCCCTGGGTGGATAGCACTGACATCGTGGCAGGGCGTGCGCGCGGTCTCCTCGAGTTGGACTTGAAACTAGACGATCTCCTCGAGATGCAGAAAGACGGTCAGGACGACCTCGATCTGGAATACGTGCAGTTTGATGTCTCCAAGGTTCTGGCCCTGCTCAACAAACGGTTTGCGAGGAAGAAATAGAACGACGCCACTTTGGGCCAGGTACATTCAGGCCCCATGATGAAATGGAGCACGAAGCACGAAGAGCATATTCAGGCAGAAATCTCGGAACACGACGAGGACGAGCAACACGACTGAATTGAACCAAATCACACTCCCAGCGATTGACGAAAAACTAAGCCGGCGAGCTGAGTGGGACATTGCCATATCGATTTGCATTGTGGCCCTCTTCTTTCTACCCCTTTGTTTTACTAGGAATCCAAGCGCGCCATCCATTTTTTTGTAACTGTAATGTTTTCAATCGGGGCCTGTCTCGAGGTTGTTGAGGAGCGAGCGAGTGTGGTGACTGTCTGGGTCTGTGTCTGTGTGTCTGTCCGGCTGAGTGAGCGAGTGTGTGTGTTTGTGCTTGGGTTGTACCTGCGTATGGAGGAGTGTAATATATCAAAGGAAGGCCCTGGACCCAGGGCGCGCGGGCAGTTTTGAACGAAGCAAAATGAATGGTATTGGGAAAAGGGACGGCAAGGAAGTATTACTGAGGACAGAAGGGAAATAACCGTTATTGTACTAATAGGACGCGCGCTGTTTTGGGGATTTGATACCACAGAAGATTTCTCTTTTTTGTTCCTTGTTCTATCCGCTGAGGATTAGGGTACGCTGGCATCTATGGAGTATATCGCTCCTCTTGATCCCTCTCTTAACCTCTTCCTATATCTCTTCCCATATCTCTCTCGCCCCTTATATCCGTCTGTCTCCAATTGGCATCGACATTGCAAATTGTGCGACTGGCCGACACGGAGTCCCGGTGTCGGAGACAGCCTCGTACTTGGGTCGGGATTTGCTGTCCATTCTCGCCTTGAGTGTAGGTCCGGCCAGAGACGGCGCGCTACGCAAGCTGATCTTTGTCCAAACTTCGGGATGCTTCATGTTGAATATATTTGATACAAGATCCGCTTCAAGCCATTGGCTTTACCCAACTTCGGCTCACTACGTCCCATGCGTGTGCTTGTAACGAATCGAGCTTCTGGGCCGGAACCCTTGCTTCCTGTTCGTTCTGGAGTCGGTTCGGCTGTATCGGGCGACTCGGTCGCAGATGAAGGTGAGGAGGGTCTATGTGGCCAGTCCATGATACAAGGGTCGTCCTGTCCGCATAGGAGGCAACGGGACATTCTATAGAAACCGTCCTGCTTTAGGTGTTTGCCACAGATTTTCGTGCTCGGGCAACCAGTCAATGTTTTCAAGATTGTGCAAGATCTCCCAGTGGCTGGTCTCCTCGGGTACGGGGTTGGACTCTTCGCCGTGAATCGTTGAAGAAACTGTCGTGGGTCGTTTGTCCACAGAGAAAAATTTCACGGCAACCACAGAGGAAAAGCCTAAAGCGCAGAGCTTTTGCGACACCAGGTCACTCATCGTCTGAGTCTCAAGCGGCCAAACATAATCGTCCACCAAAAATCCAGCCTCACAAGCTGGATTTTTTGGCGGGCACTAGGCAGAAAATTACAACGAAATCAAGCCTTGTCATGCCAGGAGCTCGGTGATGCGTATTATCATATCGTATCCCCGGTTCGACAGGATAATCCCCCAGCTTCGATCCAAGATTCGTGAGGACACAAAATGGTTGGAAATGATAGTGATCAGGCGTGTCGATTTGCTTGTGGTGATCCCGAAGGCCCACGACTTTGCTGCAAAGACCCGCATGGAATCATTGAAGCCTGGGAATCCCATGCACATCTTTACGTAGTTGATCATTGCGCATTGGCATAGGATCTCAATGCCGTGTGACTGCTTCTGGATATGAAGGAGTGAAATATTGATTCAATTTCTGCTCTTCGCCAAGCGGCTTTGCCGGTATCACTGCAAGACTCCATTTCCAAAAACTTGGGGGAAGCTCGCGCCCAAGAAGAGGACTCTGGCGCAGTAAGCGGTACATCAACACTAAGTACAGCCCAGTTGGAGTCTTTTCGAAAATCGCACCACGAGTGCTGAAGAAAACTGCAAGAGCAGAGTGGACTGGCGTTGGCGAGTTGTGATCGCCGAGCGCAAAGACTTTTGACCATCGTACCACCCTGGCTTGCCTTTTATCCACAGGAGGTTGGTGGCTTTTGTATCCCATGAGCAATAGGCAGTCGTAGTATATATCCATTGACAAGTGTCTCGTAAGGGCTGCTCAATGTTGGCTCCTCTTGCTCCCATTTCGGAGAATGACAACAATCGAAGACATCTTGCGCATACAGCTTGGTATTTTTGTCTCGTTTCGATCTTCAAACTATGTCGGGTTTCTCGCGCCTCTTCTGACGCATTGGCTTGTAGAAACGCGATCTCCTCAATCTGGCGAGTGTCATGTTGAGTGCCTCCAAGCATTTCTCGACTGCGATCAAACAACGACAATCATTCCCTCAACCAAAGAGGTCGGAAGCTCTTTTTAGGAGACTCTGAGAACGGGAACGGTCTTGCTCGGGCGCAGATCCTTGGGAACTTGTGACAGCCACACACGCATCGAGGTGGTCAACAATGCTATCAGTCTGAGGCTCATCAAGCGAGATTGCGTTAGAAAGATTGAGCGGGCTCTCAATCGCTACCCCAACGCAGGGAAATGTATTATTTGTTAATCCTTGTGATCAAAACTAGGGGAGGGAGGAGAGGCTAGCTGCAGCTCATGCACGAGCACCAGATTGATACCAAACATACGTGATTTGCGTCTCCCGGCGGAGCAGCTCACCCACGAAGCTTTGGAAACCAGTCTCTTTGTGATTTGAAAATCTTACCATATGCCGGTGATTGGCATGGATGCTCCTCAGATTATAGTTAGGAAACGTGGCAGACGCCTCGGATACCGCTCTTTTCCTCACCAGTGGCAGGTCTAGTTCTTCACAAAGCAGGTAATTTTCATGCTGCTGCCGCTGCTCGGGATATCCTATCCCGAATCATGGCCAGAAAGCGGTCTTGAATAGACTTGAGAAGCTGATCATTGGTTTGCAGGACCTGGAGCAATGGCGTGTTGGTTGTCTTGATAATGCCAAGGACTTTTGCAGAGATAGACGTCCAGTCAGCTATTCAAGTTCCAGTGTGCGGAGTGCCCATGAAAATGATTCCTTTTGTTGCGGCAAAGATGGCTTTGAGATGTGATCTCAGGATTATTCCTCGAAGCCAAAACCATCTCTTTGCAAGCAAGACTTTCAAGGCTGTGGGCAACAAAAATGAGCCACCTCCGGAGTGTATCGTGAGCAGCCCTATTCGTTGTCAGATCGTTCAAGAAATTCGGAGCGTGGTCGCTCAATGTGTTGGAAGGTGCACCTTTACCTAGTCCGCGGGTAACGTAGGCATCATATCTGTAGGTTAGGATGCGTGATCTGCGAAGTCTTGATGGGAGAAGGGCTTGTGGCCAAGGCTAAGGCTGTCCTTTGGCGGTCCAGGTCGAGTCACGATTGCTGGTCAGGCCATGGATAAAGCAGACATCGACGGCAGCGTCTGGGAAATCATGACGAACCTTTATACAATCTGGGAATGTCGCCGAGCGGCTGGACCCTGGAACGGTAATTGTGCGGCTGCAGAAGTAGTAGCGTGGTGCCGCCAGAAGTCTCTGGGTCAAACATGCTGTCTAGACTTGTTCAGCAGTTTTGCTGTCAGTTTCTCCATTGGACATCGATGATGGGACGTTGAGGAAAAGATTCCAAGAGCGAGAGGTATAGAACGAGGACAACCAATGTCTGGGAAATACAGTCCAAACGCAGGTTGCAGGGAAATTTCCCGCCAAATTTGGTGGTCAGTGCCGCCGCTTTTGGAGGCGCTCTTGCCTCGATGCTAACAACGCGCTTTCTAGTGAAGGCGCGTCCCACTCTTGGTCGTTTTCTCCCCCTCCACCATTTCGTGAACAAAAACAAACACCGTCACCACCACCACCGTCACCACCACCACCGTCACCACCACCACCGTCACCACCACCGCGACAATGGCTGACGGAAACCCTCTCGGTCTGCAGCCAGATTTCAATCTCATTAGTGATGAGCTCAAAAAAGCACAAAATCTACCAGCAATCAATAACGGTCAACAAATTCTGGCCGAGCTGCGAGCTATTCGCCGAGACCTCGCAGATATTCGTCGAGACCTCGCAGATAATCGTCGAGACCTTGCAGATACTCGTCGAGACCTCGCAGATACTCGTCGAGACCTTATTACTATGATGACTGTGTCGTATGTATCACCCTTCGTTATTCTCACATTACTATACTAATCCTATAGTAACCATAATAATACAGCTCGAGTTCAGAATACCTACGTAGCAAGCCGATCGGAACCTCTTTCGTCATTCCTCAACCCCTCCAACGGTGCCGCCATTCCCGAATTCCCTCCTACATCGACAGAACTTGGGCAAATGACCGGACGGCAAATGGATACTGTCTTACAACAACTGGGTCTTCAACCTGCTCATGGTGCAAGTTTGACAGCGAAGAAGAAAATGTTGAGAACTCATATCGGCTTAAGGGAGGTCGCCGCCGTACCACCTCCATGAAGAGCACAAGTCTAGTAACGAAGAGGAGACGCTTGAGATTAAAAGTCGCAGACCAGTACACGAAGAGCACGAATCAAAACTGTATTGATAGATCACGATTAATGAGTGCCAACATCATGGGCTGAAGCAGCAGCTGATTTCTCTGCAACAACTTTACATCCCAGGTTTCACGCTGGTCAGTTTACAACTTCTCGGATCATCCAAACGGCATCGGCACAATGATAATCCTGAAGGGAAATCCACCCCCCAATTCCGGTCCAATAGGAATCTGGCGAGCCGGCTTCCTACCGATATCTCCTCCCTTCGCAGCATCTCCTGACCCTGAAGTGTAAGATCGTTATCTCGACTGCTTCTCCTATATCCTGTCATCGTCTACAGCTCTTCCTCTTACCAATCCATCCGTCTACCACCTTTTGGGGTAGATCCCCAATCAGCTTGCCAACATGGACGTCCTAGACTTGCCTGCTTCCCAAGCCTCGCTTCTCTAACGCGCGTTCTGCCGGTTTATTCCTCGAAGCTCTTCTCTGCCGGTAGCCCTGTGGAGGACCTATCTCGCTAGTCATGAGGAAAGGGAAGCAATCGGCCAAAAGCCCTCAGTCACTATCTCCGACGATAGCACCACAGAGCGGCGCCCATGTAGACCAGGCAAGTACCGGACATGACCATTTCTCGCCGGCACCGCTGACAAGAGCATAGCAAATGCTCGTATCACAGCTGGACAGGTTGTCCGTAGCTGATGGCTCGGGTATCATACCAGCTGACAAGATCTGGCCGCAAACCATTGTCGGAGACGTTCGTGCAACGCAATTGACCGGCTCAGCGGCAGTGTCCAGATCGAGGCCGAGAGATGACCTCCTCGAAGTCGTCTCCACATCCGACCGTGGCCTTGCTGTCTTCTCGACTCGCAAAATCAAAGCCGGGACGCTTGTGCTGGCCGAGCGACCCCTGATCTCGCTGGACAAGGACGAGGAGAACGACGCCAGCGCGATCGAGCGCGAATTCTCCAAACTCTCTCGCACCGAACAAAAGATCTACCTGCGCCTCTTCGATGCACAGAAGTCGCGCATGTCTCGCGTTGTCTCGATCTACTACAGCAACTGCTACAACTGCGGGGGTTTCCGACCCAGCCAAGGCGGCTCCGCGATCGGTGTATTGTCGAGTCGTTTCAATCACAGCTGTGTTCCCAACCTGCAATTCTCCTACGACGAGGGCAGCAACGAGATGAGGTTTTACGCCATTCGGGATATCTCCAGGGGAAAGGAGATGTGCAGTAACTATGACAAGTCGGTCTTTGAGGTCACGACGAAGCGGCAGAGAAAGCAACAAATGTACTATGGCTTCGTGTGTCGCTGCGAGGCGTGTGAGCCGAAGAACGAGTTCTGGGCCAGGAGCGATGAGCGGAGGATGGGCATGTACGACGCCATTCGAGCTGTACAGCGGTGCGAGAAGAATCTGTCTGCGGGGAGCGACACAGTCATCGGTGAGGAAGAGCAAGCAGGACGGGTTGAACTAGCGGAAGAGGCTTTAAGGTCCTTGGCGAGGCTGGAGGGGCTGTTGCTGAAAGAAGGCCTCGTGGGAGCGCCCTTGGCGAACACTTACCGGAGCATGGCGAAGTGGGCCGAGAGGAAAGGCGACAGAGGAGGTGACGAGGCTGTCACATGGAGGATAAAGGAGCTCGGGGTATGCATTACTGCTTTCGGAGAAGATGCTCAGCGGACCAAGGACATTGAGGCCCAGCTGGACGCACAACAAACTAGCACGCGTTTGATGTGACTGAAGGAGGCATCTGGTGCGCTTTAGATCCGTCACACACCAGATACTATAGACCGCATAGAATAGAACAGGGGCAGTCCTGACATGATGATAGACCGAAACTTACACTTGATTCCTCGACCCGCCGTAAGGCAGGCGAGCATGTCTAACCTAAGCCTTCTGCTCTTTCAATCGATAGAGCGCCTCCTCCAACTCGACAAGAAGGTCCATGCACAAGGGGTCACCGGCCGGAATGATCTGATTGAACAGCGTGCCCGCCACGCCTCCCTCCCTATCAACCCACCAGAACAAGTTCGGCAGGCCGCCCCAGTTGACCGTGCCCCGGCGTCTCCGGCCGGGGACATCCTCAAGATTGACGGCCCCGGCAAGGCAGTGGCCGCCGGTCACAGACCCTTGCTCCTCCGCCGCCGCCACAGTGGCAGCGGCAGTGGCGGCAGAGGACGGCCGCCACAAGCGGTCTCTGCCGCCTGCTACGATGGAGGCGTGAAATGCCTCGGTGCTCCCCTTGCCAATCTGCGGGCGGAACATCTCGTCCACGCTCTCCTTTTTCAGCAAGGGCCCACCACCCTGGAGGAGACAGGAGAGCAATTTGATGTAGTCGTTCGCGGTGCCGTAGAGACCAGCGCCGCCGATCGCGTCGCGCGGGGAGATGGGCCAGGGCGACGTGGCGGGCTCCGAGTCGAGTGCCTTTGGGGATTCTGCTGGGTTGGAGCGTTGGGCTGTCTCGTGCAGTTGCGGCACGGGCTCCGGGTGGAAGTGTTTTGTCGGATAAAAGGTCGTAGACTTGGCCCCGAGTGGGCCCCAGATGTTTTCTTGCATATACGTGTCGAGATTTTGCTTGGTGAGAGCCTCGACCTGGCAGCAGGCAGAAATAAGTACACGGGGATGATTTCAATCTCAATCCAGTGTGGCCGAGCTATGGGAGATGGGAAAACCACAATGCCGAACCTACCACTTGTCCGACCCAGTCGAGTCCTGGACTGTACATCCATGATTCACCCGGCTGAAAGAGCAGTGGATGTAATGAGCCTTCCTGGAACGCTGGTGATCAGTTCCACATCCCTCTGGTCCGAATGAGACGGGCATTCTTACAATCTTCCCACTGAACATGTTGTCTGTGCGCCCGGTCGCAGCGGACCACTTCAGAAGCAACGGACTGCCCAAGTCATAGCAGAATCCCGACGTATGGGACATGAGCTGTCTGAAAGCCATGGGTTAGCGATACCTTACCGTCGTGGAATTGTCCAGAGATGAGCGTGGCCCAAACCGTAAGGTAATCTTCCCCTTGACGTCCTCCAAGATAGGCTTTCCACTAGGCTTCATCTTGTCCAAATCCACTCCACCACCTCCTCTGGCAATGGTTTGAGGATCCAGCTCATTCGGTTGGTCGTCACCTTCAAAACCAACAAGAACTTTCAAGTCCTTCAACACCGGCAGGACATCGCGCACATCGTCGTCCAGACCAATGAGGCCCTTCTCGACTATCTGCATCGCCGCTACCGAAGTCGCAAGCTTGCTCTGGCTGGCGATCCATGTCAGAGTGTCCGGTGTCAAGGGATCAGATCTGTCGACGGTCCGGCTCCCGAACGAACTGCGGTAAAGATCATTTCCTTGGAAGTTGTCAATTCCGTCCACTCGAACGACGCTGGGGGGTTCTTTGCGAGATGTAAGGGTATGGATGCTGTCAGGACTGACATTGGCCATACAAGGCTTGCTTACCTGCGCTGTCAACAGCGATGAAGGTCGCTCCATGCACGGAGCCTGTTGAAGGATCGGTGTATCTTCGGAGAATCTCGTCAAGGTCAGCCATTGCTGCGGTCTTTGTGATAGAGATCTGTTCGCAGAGGACGTCAACTTCCAGCAGTGCCAGCAGCCGGGATACATTATTAATACTTGGGCCGCCTTGACGACGTTTTTTTACTTTGCAGGCTGCCGGCCCCGGCGACTGGATGCCGAGTTCCCATTGCGCTGGCTTGGTTGTACGATGCCTCTCTCCAACCGTTTATCTCCACTGGCAAGATCCATTTCTCCATTCCAGGTTGTGGGCTTGGATGTCACCTGCTGACAACACCCACCCACGCGCACAGAACCGAACCTCGGCGCATGGAACCAATTCGACGATTCAGCAAAGGGCTTGTGTTCAGGGCTCAAAAAGTCGAACTGAAGACACGCTAGTCCCGCAGCAGGATCTTGAAGTCCATGGCAAACCCGGGTTGGCCAACTGAGCTTGAGGAAACACTACATACCTTCACCTCGTACTTTGCAAAGGATCCTAAGGAGTCGACAAGGAATCCGAAAGACAAGCCCGACTAGAGAGACCGGCGGCCTCATTTTTGCACGGAAATAACGCATCTTTCCTCGTCAGCCCCAACATTGGTGTCTTTGCTCACGAACCAAGGCTGTCGAATAGTGTGGCAATGATCTCAACCCTCTGACAGTGACGTTGAGACTAGCTACATTGTGTCATGGGTCTATAGCTAGCCTATGAATGTGTTCTAGGCCGGGAGCAGTCACAAAGCTGCCGCACCGCTGTTGCTACCGTCGGTCTTGGAGTCCTTCATGCAACAATTGTCATGTCCTTGATGAGTCGTCGCCTCCTTGTTGTTGTCTCTCAGAGTCCCCTTACCCATAACCTTAGACCGCTAGCTGCCGCACCAATCTCGCAGACTTCGCAGATCCTGCACACCTGTCCTTTAAACTGACTCTGATACTTGGCCCCATCGAATGGGCAGGACACGCTCTGCGCTCCACTATAGATTGGAGTAAAAGAAGCTGCGCAAACGTCGAAATCAGCGAACTGGTCGTACTCGATGTCGGTCTTGTCACTAGACCCAGAACGCTCGGCTTGTTGCTTGATTTTCTTCGCCTGCCAAAAAAGGTTAGCAAACAAGTTGGACAGTTCCTCTCCATATACTGACCTGTTCAACCAGTTTGGCTGCGCCGCCATTGGCAAGGATTCGATTTGCAAAGGACAGTGCACTCGAATATTGTCTGTTCGAGAAGGCCAGTTTCATAGCCGCCATAAGAGCCAACTGTCGATGGGCGACCTCAAGTTTGGGCATGGTGAAGTATGCGGAAAGTTCGAGCTGTCGCTTAAGCTGTGTCTCTGAATCACCACCTGAAGCTGCGAGCTTACGTCTTTCAAGCTCGATACTCATCGCAAGTGTGTATTCCATCGATTTGGTAATGAGGGCTTTGGCTTCGTCGACTTGAGCCTGTGAGCTAACGACATTGACGAGAAGTGATTGCAACAGCGTTCGGAACGTAGCAACACCATTCTCCAGTTTGTTGGTCCTCATGGCCGTGTACCCTTCCTGAAGGTCAACGTTCGTGAGGGTCTCCAGGTTTCTGGGAATGACGGGCAGGAGTTTTCTGTTGTCCGTCTCATCGGTGCTGCGACGAACGTAGTTTACAATAGGAGGTAAGCTAGCATTGGCAGGCAGGAATGTTTTGGACGCCTGGTAAATTTCCAGGAACCTTGACTTGAGAGGCTCAAAATGCACTGCGCCAACTTGACGGTTCAGCAGCTGCATGGCACTGTCGAAAGAGCCTGCTGCGACGTGATCTGCAGCTAACGGAGAATTTCGTGACCACATATCTGCTTCTGAGCTGCCAGGGCCAGTAGCTTCCGTAGGTGCATCCGGGTTGTCGACATTGACGAAATCAGAATCATTTCCTGTCGTTTCGAGGCCGATGTCGTCACCCATGTCCCAACCTTCGCCAGCATCCGCCTCTTCGTCTGCTGGGAGTCCGCCACTGTCTGCAGCCACAGGCATATCTTCGGTGAGGAGATCAGGGCTTGTTTCGTCTTCAACGGCCGCTCCGACTTCCCCGAGCAGAGCTCTCTCGAATGAGGAATGAGATGCTTCCTTGACTGGCCAGTTTGCTTTGTAGGTAGGAATAATGACCTTTGGAGGAGTGAGACCCTCTCCCGAGTCAGGCATCGAGATTTGATCTTCGGTCAACCCGCAAAGTTCGAGTATTGATTGGCATTCTTCTGTCAGCCCGTGAGACTTTGCAGTAAGATAAGCCAATGGATATTGATCAATCTCTTTGAACATTTGAATCCGACTTTCCACATCGTTGAGATACAGAGCATTTTGAAATCTCGACACAAAATCTCCCCGATGCTCGGCAATTTTGGCCATTCTAGTGAGTTTCTCCTCATCACCTGTGCAAAGGTACAAGAATGACAGTTTGTCGAAGTTTCGAAGTTTCTGATAGGTCATTTCCACGGTCTGGTGGTTGCCATGGATTAAAGCTTCGGCGCCTAAGCGTGTCCAAATTTTGGGTCTGTCCAACTCTTTGGCCATTTCTGTGGCAACTTCCAGGTTGCCGCACTCGATGGCTAGTTCGAACCTCGTTTGGGGATCTTGCACAAACTGTAAGGCGATCTCTGGATAGCCTTTCTTTTGCAGGTAAGAGATGATGCTCTGCCCTACCAGGGGTGACGTCCTGATGATCTGAAGCATTTCGTCGTAGTTGCGCTTCACAAGCGCCAACTTGAACCGGTATTCCGTGGGGTCAATGCTCAGAACTCGGGGCTTAGCGGATCTGTCGAGGCAGTAGACGTTACGGCCTTTGACTTTGACAAGGTAAACCGTCTGGTCGAGCGTCCTAACGATGCCGTTATCGCCATTGAGGAGAGTGTATTTGATATGGTTGAGAGTCGAGTAAAGCAGGACGCCAGAATCGTCCCAGGCGGCGCTCTTGATTCTGATCGTCTCATGCAGGGTACTGACTTGCTCTAGGGATTTGTTCACGATGGTGACATTGTGCTTGCTGAGCAAAGCAGCATACAGACCATCGTTTGACCAAGTGACATATTTGACGCCCGTAACGCTCAATTCGGCCAGCTGCTTCTTCTGCTGAATATCGTAGAGAACAACATTTGTGGGAGTGATGAGAAGGAGACAGCTTGTGCCACCATATGTGATATCGGTAGTTCCAGCAGGTGCTTTGAAGGACTTGGTCGTCGAATTGCTGAGGTCTTTGATTTCGACTAACTGGGTGGAAGTACTGAAAACGGCAAAGCGATTGCGGGCCACGAAGACTGCCGCGTTGCCTGATCCACGCTTGATATCTGTAGGATCCGTAGCTCCTGTGGCATCTCGTGGAAGTGCAATCAGCTCGTAAGTGCCGTTGTCCGTGGGTGATGTGACCAGGATTGATCGTTCTGCAGGATTATAAGAGAGTGTGCGAGGAGGGACCCAGTTGCTGCCAAACTTCCTAAGTGACAGGAGCGAAGGGGACTCGACATTTTTGGTGAAGTCATAGGACCGGACATGCTTGTCTTTTGTGATATAGAATAGTTGGTTCTGGTACACAGAGGACGCAGGACGCTCTCGTTCAAGTTTGAAGACCATAACCCCATTATCGTGGCCGGCGGCAAAGAGATTGATCTCGGGATGAGCAGCAATGACCCAAAAACGATCATTCTCCCGCTTAAAGGATTGGACGGAAGTTCTCTTGTTTAAATCCCAGACCCGAATAGTTTTGTCCTCACCCACGGACAGAATGAGATCTTGATGTGGATGGAACAAGCATGCAGAGACGTTTTGGAAGTGCCCCCGGCAAGTGTCAACCTCCCACGCCTTAGTCTCGCTCATTCTCCACAGCTTAACAAGGCGGTCATCGCCCGCTGAGACGATCAACGGCAAGGTCGGATGGAAAGCCACCCAGTTCACGCCTCGATCGTGCCCCTCGAGAACAAACTTGACAACGGCGTCGGTGTTACCAAACATATCAGCTTGTTGTTGGTTTGCTCGGGCCATTTGATCTTCAAAACTCATCGACGTTGGAGCTGAATGCTTTTTCCGTAGTCCTGAAATATCCCACACTCGAACAGATTGATCAAGGGAGGCGGAAACAATGAGGTCCTCCTTAGGGTGGAACTGGGCGCACATGGCGTAGTGGTTGTGGCCCGTCATGGTGCAAACTGTTGTGTGCGTTAGGCAGGGCCAAAGCTCTTTTGGAGAAGTACATACTCAGGGATCGATTCTGCCAGTTCCAAATCCTAATCGTCTGGTCGTCCGATGCGGACAGGATCCAAGGCAACTCATGGTGGAAGAAGACTGTTCGAACATAGTCCAGGTGACCATTGAGAGTGAAGAGGCACCTCCTCGTTTGGTAGGACCAGACCTTGATCTTGTAGTCATCTCCTCCCGAAACAAAGAGTGGTTGTGTCTTGTGAAAGTCGATACCGCGGACCGGTCCATCGTGCTCCTCGAAGCGGTCAATCAATGTTCCCATGCGATAGTCCCATAGTCTGTAGAGCGGTTAGTGTGGATGCCGCAAGAAATCGTGTCAAGGTGCGGTACTGAATGGTGCTGCTGTGCAAGCTGACAAGGATCCACGGCCGCTTCGGATGGAAAGCTAAGCCTTTTGCGCGACTGCTCTTGCTCTCAAACTGTACTCAAAGATTAGAAGGCATTGAAAGAGGAGGACAGACGGCCAGGCCATGCCTTTGTGAGCATTGAAGGGGAGGCCATGTTGGCCGGTTGGAGAAGAGTTCAACTTGCTGAATTTCTCAACGACAGGTTGTATTCATGCTGCACCCCTCCTATGATGCGTCGATATCAGAACTCCCCCCGTGAGAACTGTCGCGGTTGCAGTATTTGGGGCGCAGTTGGAAAGGCATAGGTGGCTCCGTATAGGGTTTCGGTGCGGTGCTCAATTCAGTGCCAGACAAATTGTCCGCAGGCTGTCCGTGATGCGCAAAAAGGAAGGTTCGGCGAGGCTGCACAATGTGGGGACTTGGCTAGTTTATCGATTTGGACGGCCAGCACGGCTTCTTATGTCGCTTTCACCCCAAACTTGCCAGAGTGGCTCACTTGTGCTGTGACTATCACCACTCTGTCCGCGATTCTACTCCCTGCTACTCTGATCTTCGGCTGGAACAGATAGGTGGCTTTCTGCTACTATTCTTAAGCCCAGATCGAGTAGCCTGCACTTCCATCTCCCAGCCATTCGCTCACTCAGACCCGTTTCAACCAGCATGTGTTTGTGAGGCGTTAGCGACATACCTGCGACAATGGATCAGGCTCAGTACGACGCGATCAAGGACAACTGGGGGGAGGTTGAGGACAGAGATGGCGTTAGACTCAGTTGGAACGTCATTCCATCGACGCGCATGGTACGAAAGGAAGTCACAGCGACAGTTTGAACAGAACTAAAAGCAATTCTTCAGGAAGCAAACAGATTGGTGGTCCCCGTCAGCTGTTTACTCACGCCGCTGAAAGTGAGCACTCCAAACCCAGAGATGTTTCTGGTGCTGACAGTCTGAAAGGAACTCGGCAAACCACCACTCCCGTATGAGCCTGTCACATGCAAGGCGCCTTGCCGGGCGGTCCTCAATCCCTTCGCTAACGTCGATGTGCGGGCTAAACTATGGATCTGCCCCTTCTGTCTCCAACGCAACCCGCTCCCTCGTCACTATGGAGATATCAGTGCCGAGAACATCCCACCAGAGATGCACCCCGCCAACACTACGGTCGAATACAAGCTTGCTCGACCTGCCCCTTCCCCACCAATTTTCGTGTACGTGGTTGACACTGCGATCGAGGAAGATGGCTTGCAAGCCTTGAAAGAAACTTTGGTCATGAGTTTGTCGTTACTCCCTGCGAATGCGCTAGTGGGTTTGGTTACGTTCGGAACAAATGTTGCCGTTCATGAGATTGGCTATACCGAGTGCCAGAAGTCGTACGTCTTTCGGGGCAGTAAGGACTATGGAGCAAAGCAGGTTCAAGAGATGCTGGGATTAGCTGCGCCTGGGATGAGGCCTAATATGCCACCAGTACAAGGCAGGCCGCCTCCGCCTATGGGCCCTGCTGCCCGGTTCCTCCTTCCCGTCCAGCAAGCTGAGTTCCAGATAACCAATGCAATCGAGCAGCTGCAAAAGGACCCTTGGCCTGTCGCGAATGACCGGCGACCACTTCGCTGCACCGGTGTCGCAATGAGTATTGCAGTCGGCTTGCTGGAGACATCTTTCCAGAATGCGGGAGCCAGAATTATGCTATTCGCTGGCGGTCCCGCAACTGAAGGACCCGGTATGGTCGTTGCCCCAGAACTACGTGAGCCTATCCGATCACACCATGATATCGATCGCGACAATGTCAAGTACTTCAAGAAGGCCATCAAGTTCTACGACAATCTTGCAAAACGCACTGCCCACAACGGGCACATCATCGATCTATATGTTGGCTGTCTCGACCAAGTTGGCTTGCTCGAGATGAAGGGATTAGCGAACTCGACTGGAGGGCATATGGTCTTGACAGACAGTTTCACCTCCTCGCAGTTCAAGCAGTCTTTCGTAAGAGTATTTGACAAGGATGAGAGCGATAACCTCCTTATGGGATTCAATGCATCCCTCGAGGTCGTTACAACGAAAGAGCTCAAGGTTACCGGTCTCATTGGCCACGCCGTCTCCCAGAATAAGAAGTCTAGCTCTGTCGGCGAGACAGAATGTGGTATTGGGAACACTTGTCTCTGGAAAATGTGCGGTATTGATCCCACATCCAGCTACGGCATTTACTTTGAGGTTGCAAACCAGGGTGGTCCGGCGCCCATGCAGCAAGGCCCACAACGAGGTATGATGCAGTTTTTGACATATTACCAGCATTCTTCCGGACAGTATCACCTACGTGTGACCACTGTTGCCCGCAATTTGAGCGGTCCAACTGGTGACCAAGCACTGGCTCAATCTTTCGACCAGGAAGCTGCTGCCGTGCTCATGGCACGAATTGCGGTTTTCAAAGCAGAGGTCGACGATGGGCCGGATGTGCTCAGATGGGTCGATCGGATGCTCATCCGGCTCTGCTCGCGCTTCGCAGACTATCGCAAAGATGATCCAACCTCCTTCCGACTTGACAAAAATTTCACCCTCTACCCACAATTCATGTTCCACCTACGCAGATCGCAATTCCTTCAGGTATTCAACAACTCGCCCGACGAGACGGCATTTTATCGACACGTGCTGAATCACGAATACGTGGGGGATTCGCTAATCATGATTCAACCTACCTTGGACTCTTACGGTCTTGACCACGAGGGTGGTCAACCCGTCCTGCTCGACTCCGCCTCCATCCAACCCCAGACCATCCTGCTTCTCGATACTTTCTTCCAGATTTTGATTTTCCACGGCGAAACGATGGCTGAATGGCGTAAAGCTGGCTATCAAGACCAGGAAGGCTACGAGAATTTCCGGGCTGTTCTTGACGCACCAAAGGAAGACGCGCGAGAACTCGTACAGGACCGATTCCCTCTGCCGCGGTTTATTATTTGTGATGCTGGAGGCTCGCAGGCCCGTTTCCTCCTATCAAAATTAAATCCTTCAACTACACATGCGACCGGAGGTTACGGTGGTGTTTCGCAGTCCGCTCAGACGATTTTCACTGATGATGTGTCATTGCAGACATTCATGGATCATCTCATGAAGTAAGTTGCCCACCCTTGCAGCCTTTGCCTTACGCTAATCCAATCCAGATTGGCAGTATCTGGCTCCAGCTAGAGCCATACAGTAGAGGCAAGCGTGATGACGGTGCGTACGGGCACTTGGGACTCAATTCTTGTGACGTGGGCTACATATATCGGACGTTTCTCCAGAAGACCCTGTTCAATGGGACGGCCGCACTTCCTTTTACAAACAACCAAATTGAGCGGCTAGATACCCGTAGAAAATGGGCATGACATGAAATCAGTTGCCCATAAGAATGTACCGAGTAGGGAGTGCATGTTGGTGTTGGCGAGCTCATCTGCCCAGGCCATATCGACCTTTCCGTACTAGGAATAATTTCACCCACAAGCTAAATTCTTGGCAGCATCGAAAAAGCTGCTAGTTCATTAATTTCCAGAATTGCATCCTTGAGTTTGTCTCTTCTTCCAGCTCACCATCAATCACCTCAAGAAAGACTGACTACCTTTCGCACTCGCCATGCGTAAGTATCGTCTTCTTGAGCAGCATCAGCTCGGCGGCTAACAATATGTTTTTATCCTTTCAGCTCCCAAGTTAGATCCCAGTGAGGTGAAGATCATGTACGATACCCCGACAATTTTCCTCATCCTGCCAGACCCAATCGGCAAGACACTGACATGGTACTCTACAGCCACCTCCGCGCCACTGGCGGTGAGGTCGGATCTTCTGCAACTCTCGCCCCTAAGATCGGTCCCCTTGGTCTCTCACCCAAGAAGGTCGGAGAAGATATCGCGAAAGCCACTGGCGACTGGGTGCGTTTATCAACAACAGGCCATAGCCAAATCTTGACAGATTAGCTAATATTTTGCGCCTGTAGAAAGGTCTCCGCGTCACCGTCAAGCTGACCATCCAAAACCGACAAGCCGCCGTCAGCGTCGTTCCCTCTGCCTCATCTCTCGTTATCCGAGCCCTGAAAGAGCCCCCTCGAGACCGCAAGAAGGAAAAGAACATTAAACATTCCAAGTCGATCCCTCTGGACGAGATTTTCGACATTGCCCGAACAATGCGTGGTGCAAACAAGTCGCTCGCTCGTGAATTGAAGGGTACGGTATTGGAGATCTTGGGAACTTGCTTCAGTGTAGGTTGTCAGGTAGACGGAAGAAGTCCCAAGGAGATTAGTGATGAGATCAAGGAGGGATCGATTGAGGGTAAGTCCTCACACATTGATTCGACGTTTGTTTGTGCCTCTTACTAACTTGTCCGAAAGTGCCCGATGAATAAATCTAGATGCCGTGTCCGTTGAGGAACCCATGAAGCTCATCGCGCCCCAACCAGGGGAGCGTGGTGTAGCAGGACCATATCATCCATGAGCAACGCCTGGAAATGTTGTCATGTCCCTCGTCAAAACAATAATGAGGATAACGAGAATGAATTCCAAACCAAGGCCTTGGCCATTCCCATTTCTTTTACTATCACAAACTTCCCTCCATTACCCCTTTCCACCCCCTGTGTTTCACACGCTCAAAGACCTTTGCCAACACTCTGGCCTTTATCCCTTTCCTTTCGGAAAGCTATCACCAGGATAATGTGCCTATTTTGATGCAAAGAAGATCAAATCTTCACAGAATGACACGCTACTCACCACGGCATTTCCTATATCCAAAATGGATGCAGTGGTCCATCATCCTTTGTGTCTACAATCCCTAAAACTCACCATGCATATAAAAAGCTGTAGGTTACCGCCTATTCGAATGGTGCAATGACATGAAATCGCGTTCTGCTCGACCTTCGCCTGTGTTCTACTGTGAATGTCTTGTTTTGTGATGGAAGGTCCTCGCTTGCCAATTCATTGTTCTTTGAGGGTATCCGAGATGGAAGCCGTCGTCCTCAGCCCTTCAATTTTCCCCTTGTTGCTTCTCGGCTTGTCCTGTCAAACCGCGCCCCTTGCCTCTATGTCTCACTGGCGGCCGGATGGAACATCTCCCCGAAGGCGTTGACACCTGTCCTATCGGCCTTGTCCACAAAATCCAAGTCCCATCTCGCCAGCCTGCCCTGGTTGCATTTCGGGCACATTGGCATCTCTCTCAACCTCCCGTGCCAATCAGTGTCAAAGCAGACCTGACAGACGTCCTCCCCACCACAGTCACACTCGTCCCCGGCTTTCGGTTCAATGGTCGCCTCGCATTCTTCCCTCCGGCACTGTAAGTATTTGGCCCGCAGGCACTTGGTGGTGTAATCCCACATGAATTCTGCGGTCGTTTCCATCAAGAGTTTGAACCTTTTCTCCCTGAACAGACGCATCTCGCTCTTCTGCGCCAGGTACACGGCCCTCATCCTCATCTTTTGCCCCAGGGTCGCTCGGCCTTGGTTTGGGCTGGTGATGTAGAGGTATTCGATTGTCCAGAGGAGCAGATTGCCGCTGAACAGCACACCAGAAGTGGCTTGGACGAATTTCTGGAGGCTGATGGTGGAAAGCGCATGGATGGCGTAAAATTCGCCCAGCCAGTACATATCGATGTGGAGGAAGAGGTCATCCGGCTTATTTTCGGAGGTAAAGGAAGCAGAAGAGGCTCGATCTTCTTCGTCCTCGACAGCGGTGCTGGCTCGCGAACCCGCTGGAGCACCCGTTCCCTCGCCGACGACAGAGTCAACTCTTGATTGCTTGAGATATCTCCTCCACGCCTCCGGCAGATTTGCCTCTTGGTCCGTGTAGGTTTTGATATAGATCGACTGGATCATTCTCAAGACCATCAGCGGGTCTTCGACATCGTTCAAGACCAGGTATCCCATTACGCCCTCTTGAAAGTGTCCTGAGCACACATTGGCGAAATATCTCGAGCATTCGCTCAGGACGAATCGGTGGACCTTGAACGAGTATCCGGGTATACAAAGCTCGAAATTGACGCCCGAGCCAGCGAGCAGGAGGTTACTTTGAATGTTTGGAGCGAAAAGAGTGAGAGCAGAAGACATTTTGGGCGTGTGTTTGCGGAAGAGGTGTGTGTGAGGAAAGGACGGATGGGAGGTGGCACGTGACGCGGCTGAAATACTCAGGGGGTGACATGATAATTGCCCGACGACAGAATGTGCCGGAGCGTGTGCTAAATCGCGACATGTGTTTTGTTTGTCTCGACGAGAAACAAGGCTCTGCGAGGCTGGGCCATGGGGGTGCTCAGTGACAAACTTGACACGGTGCTGTGCTGATCTGCGTCCTGTTTTTTGACCTCAGCCTTGGACATCTACTGGTCGAGGCTGGACGATGGGCGTCCTCCTGGGCGTTTTCGGCAAGCAGGCTGATCATAGACTCCGTCCCCCAAACGTCTTAGGCTTGTATTTCTTGTGTACAGCAGTTTCTCAACCTCTCAATGCTTCCCACTCAGACAACGGCGATTTATTGCAAAAGAAAGAAGTGAGTAAACATCCTCCATCCTCTGTCTGATTTTTGGGCACCCCTTCCTCGAGCTGCCGGGTAACCTCGTAGTCCCGTTGCTCCTCCTTATGCATGGCCCCTGGCAGAACGCCGCCACTTTCAACGAATACCAGAAAAAGGTCCTTGACAGGTCTTTGGGCGAAATCAAAATCTACTGGTATGTCAAGAGTGCTAGTACGGAAGTGGTCTGCTTCTGTCCCAATCCTTGTCCAGGAGCCACGCCATGCCATCCATTGCCGTCTCCTTTACCTCTGGCGAGTGGGCTTCGGGAAACGGCAGCGACACCCAACCCACATGGCCGTAGCCGTCGAGCACGTCGACCTTTGTCTCAGCGACGCCGTCTTCTCTCAGCACCCGTTCATAGATGACCGCGTCGTCGCGAAGGATATCCAACTGGCCACCATGCACGTAAACCCGTCGAGGGTGATGTTCTCTTATCTCACGGAGATCTAGGTTGAGGGGGGAAAACCAAGGTGAGTGGAAGTCGGTCTTCAGTCGCTTTTCCGAGTTAGCCAGAGACGTGGCGTTGATGATTGGAGCATTTGCATTCTCCTCACGGGACCGGAACGCAGATGCATGCTTCACTGGGACAATTTCCCGATGGACGACATGAGGGAGGGACAAGAAGAGTCCTCCAATGGGAGAGACAAGGCTGCGTAACCCTCGCACCAGCTCCGTCTCACCTGCCCGTGCAGCGGACGCGATGCCAGCAATGACTGCGGAGATGGTTGCGCCAGCACTGCACCCTGCCAGCACGAAGCCGAGGGAAGCATCAAACTCGATCCCATCGTGTTTGAGAGGCCCATTGTTGAGGTTCTGTGGATCGGATAGCCAGGCTACTACCTCCCATGCACTTTGCATCGGCGCGGGAAAAGGGTTCTCCGGCGCCAGCTTGTAGGACGGACAGGCGACGATGGCTCCAAAATACGATGCAAACGCACGGGCTGGGGAAAGTGCGAAGTTTGGCGTGTCAAAAGTGAAGCTTCCTCCATGGAAGTACACGATGAGGGGACACTTCTCCACAGTCTGGTTGCCTCTCGATCGTTCCAAGACAGGCCAGATGACGATGGTCTGGCTTACAAACCCGTCTGGGATCTGGATGTCGATTGTCGATTCCTTCAGGTCTGGGAGGCAAGGACCGAGAATTTCGAGGGCGGCCTGCTCCAGAGCTTGCATTTCCTTGCGGCGAGCGTCTATTGCGGCTGGTGAGTTCTCATCGGGAATGGCCCCGCTGATCTCCAAGGATGTCGTGGCCATGTTTGGAAGACGAGGAGTCAGCAAGCGGTTGATTGTGAAGGATACCGAAGTACCTTGGGGAAAGGACCTGACATTTATAGAAAAGTTGTGATCCCTGGGAGGCCTCCAGGAGCTGGACCTTCAGAACCAAGTTTAACCTGCCGACCTGACACCATGCTGCAAGCAAATTACAACTACTTGGTACTATGACTGATGCATACAGAGTTGCCCGAAATCAGAGACTAATACCGTTACAGAAATCAAAGCAGCTTCAAATTACGCACGAACCAATCCCATCATACGAACCGAATCCACTCGGCCTGAAATCATCCGGCGAACAAAGCCAGGATATGGACTACCTTCGTACTTCTTCCCTAATACTCAGCGATTCGGCTCTTCTTTTGTCTCATGTGGAAGCATTGGAATGTCATGTCACCTTTGTGAAGGTGTTTCCACTGGGCAAACATCAAGCAATGTCCACAGACTTCCAAGTACAGGTGATGTCGGAAGAGGGAGTAGAGAACCGTTCAATCTCGAAAAAACCTCGCATCGGCGCGAGGGGGGAGCACAAGGTCAAAACTGGGTGTCAAACCTGCAAGTATGTATGCTTTCCTGCACTCCACCACGAGCTCTCAATTCTAATCCCAAACCCGTAGAATCAGACACAAGAAATGCAACGAGGCCAAGCCCGCCTGTTTCCAATGCACCAGCACTGGGCGCCGGTGCGATTTTAGTGTCTCACACTCGCACATTGTCCCCAGATGGAGGGTCCGGACGGCTGTCCAGCATCTCCCATCTGGCCTTCCAGACCACATGTTGGGCATGACCAGCTTTGAAGTGAGCCACTTTGAGTATTTCCGGCGCGTATGTGCGCGAGACCTCGCCCTCTATTTCGAGAGCCCGTCGTGGGAGAGCCTGGTGCTTCGGTATGCCCACATGGAGCCCAGTATATATCACGCCGCCCTCTCAATCAGTTCGATGAGTAAGAACGACTATTACCCGACGACGACGATGCCGTCGTCGTACGATCCAGGAGGACAGAATACCACCTCACCCAGCGAATACTGTTTGGCACAATACAGTCTGGCCATACAGCGTCTCAATGCCCGTCTGGATCGTTCGATCGAAAGCGTCGAACTCGCTGCCTTTGCCAGTATCCTCTTCATCTACATCGAAGGCATGCAGGGGTACAAGACATCCATGCATATTCACCTACGCGGCGGCCTGGCTCTTGCGCGCTGCCTCCAGCACCTGTCCCCCAACGTGGGATATCTCGAGTTCGCCTTATGGCAGATCCAGGAGCAAGTGGAGCAGATCGAAGCCATCAAAAAGTGAGAAGAAGGATGTCCAAACAAGAGTAGGATAGCTGGAGATCTGTCTGTTCCAGTGGCGTTTGACAATTTTCATTCCAGCACTCATTTTTGGCACCGTATGGAGATCCTGAAGCATCATGTTCCGCAATGCAGCCTGTCTAACAGCATTTCTCGAGGGTTGAAGGTTGGGAAGACTTGAATGCTCCCTGGGACAAAGACGGCTTGTCGCCTCTAGCCCAGGAGTTGGACCTACCGGGGCTATTCTGAGGCTGCCCACCTCCTGATCGAAAGCGGATCAAGCAAATGTCCACAGAACCCGGACGTCTGGTCCCTCCAGGCTTTCCTGCCTGCCTATGCAACTGATATCTTTCCCCGGGAATATAGCCATCCATGTTTTGTTACTTAGTGTTTGTTCGAGCGAAGGCTTGGATAAAAGTAATAAACAATGCTGTAAGAGACTGATGAGGACGTCGTTTCTCAACAAATATCATTTATTTAGGTCTGCCCCATCCATTGAGTCGACGATCCAATGACGGTGCAGATGCTTTTCCGGGTCTTAAATTTTCACATGAATCATAACAAATCCATGGCATTTGTAGCCGGGTGGGTTGATCTGCCGATTTAGCTATGAAGTGGCCTTCGACCTAAACCTCCCTGAATGGAAAGTGCATGGAAATGACATTCACAAAGACATAATCGATCCAATCCGCATAGACTGTCGTCACTGAGTGACAACTACCAGGTGGTGGACACTTTGGGAAATTCCTGCGACGAGATTCCGAGATCCGTAAAGACAGCATCATCACCTGAGAGAACGTCAGCGACATGTGAAAAATGATAGTATATTTCAGTCTCACCTTTCAAGTGCTTGATCCGAATCTCATCTTCGCCTTCCAACTTCTCCATTTCCTCCTCGGGAGCTGCATTGTTTTCGCGCTCATCCTTGGGCCGCTGCTCAGTGGCTTTGTCGTAATCCTCTCCGATCATCAAAAATTGCGCATGGTCATAATCCAAGAATTTGGGCTCTAATGGCTTCCAACGGAGACCTCGGAATTCATCAATGATGTCTTGCGGGTACTCAGGTCCCTGGGGCACGTTCTGATTGCTAAGAGGCGGTTGCTCAGGGTTCTTGACGCTGGTCACGAAACTTCCACGCTGTTTGAGGCCGAAATCCTTCTGCAGCTCACCAATCTCAGCAGGGATGTTGATGATATATGCCAGATGCGATTCGCGTCCTGTAGAAGTGATTGCATAGACTCCTTCCGCGAGTGGAGTGACGGGCGGTGTATGTTTTATGCCAGCAGTCTTAGTCTCATATTCTGAGCCAGCCATGAAGGATTCTTTGAGGTTGGCAAAGCTAGTTTTGCACTTCTCGACGAAGGTGACAAATCTGTCCTTGCCACTTTTTGGAAGTACTTTCTTGGGCAGAGCTAGAAGACGACAATTTCCTTCATCGCCGATAGGGCCATCCCCGAGTTTCGCATCAAGGGGAATTGGTCGCATGACCATGTAGGAGCGCGCAACGTCGTTGACGTCCTCGGGGCGGTCCACGTTGACCCGAGAGCGGAAGAAAAAGTAGATGACGCCCTTCTCGAGGATAGTAGATGGGACGTTATCTTCGCGCGAACCAGGCTCAATCGCATTGCCATTGGTCTCGGCGGCTTTGATGTCCTCCTTCTTGGACTCGGGGGCTTCAGGTTCAGCGGGTTCGGTCGCCTCCTTCTGGGACTCGGCGGGTTCAGTTTCGGCGCCTTTGGCTTCTGCGTCCTTTTCCCTTTCTTTTTCGGTGCTTTCCACCCTTTTGGGTATCTTGTCCTCCTCTTTCGCCTCGGGAGCCTCACCGTTGACATTCTCCGTTTGTGTATCTCCCGGCTTTTCCGGCTCTGTCTCGGCCATTTCTTGGTCGGCCTTCTCAGGAGCCGGTTGTTCATGAGTTCCACTGGGTATCATGTGTCAGCATGGATCAAACAGGTGGGCTGGAGAGAAAGAAGTACTTCTGTAGCGTCTCATCTAGCGTCTTCTGTTCCGGCGGCGCATGCTTCTTGCCTCGCTTTGCGCTTGGTGAAGAGCCTGACGTCTCATTCTTGCGCTTCCTGCCGGCTGGCGATGACTTTGGGTGTGGTGAGGATGAGGTCTGAGAAGTCTGGGAGCTCTGGCTTTGGGCGGCGATGCGCGCAGAAGAGCGTCTGCCGGTCATCTTCGGGGTGGTATCGGATGTTTAGAGCGATGGACGCGTGTGAAGACTGGGAGTGAACAAGAACACTAAGATACTGGCTAAGCTGGTGGTTGATGGGGCGAGAGTGGGAAGAATGAGCAGAGATCAAGAAGCCATTGAAGTCGGGTCGGCAGCAGCAAGCACCTTCTTGTCATGGTGCTGGAAGGAGCAGGGGGGAAGTGAAGTGCAGCTAAAGTTAGTGCTCGGCGAGGTCAGAAGCACAATGATGTAAGATCGGAACGAGACCCGTGCGGCGTGGAAGCTTCTATCACCAGCCTGCGGTGCGAACGAACGGTGTGAGACAAGATGGCAGACGGGAGACTGCAGACTACGCACTGGAGGCTGGTGGGTTGTTGCGTGATGCTCTAAAGTAGTCAGGATTCAGGAACCAGGGTCATGTGCGACCAACCCCCGAACCCCGCCAAATGCCCCAATCCGGCAACAAGAGCCCCGCAATGTCAAAACTGCCCTATTGCCAAGTAACAGTACTCCTCACCCACTTTGTACTTGTACTGTAGATACAGTCCCTCATCCAAGGTCCATGGCGTCAAGCCCATCATCGTCAGGCCCGGCATTCCTCACTGGCGTCGACGGCGTATTTGCGCCATATGGCGTCCCCGTCGACGACTCGTCCATGGCTTCCTCGGACCGGTCGGAGCTGTCAGACCAGGCCTCTGTAGACTGCTTCTTCACTCGCTGTCCCGCTGGCGGCTTGCTGGCCCTGTTCTTTCTTTTTTTCGGCGGGGGCTGCTCGGCGTGTCCGTCCACAAGCTCAGATACTTCGATCTCGGTCTGCTTGAGCGAGACATCTTCCTCGCCGTCGTCCATCTCCGTTGACATGCGTTTCCGTCCCCGATCACCATCATCTCGCCGAGTGTGCTGTAAGAAATGAGGATCGCAGGACAACCTTCGCAGCTTGCTGGCCAGCTCATCGTCTGTATCTGGCCACAGCCTCCGGAGTGCCTTGTCATCTTCGAAATCGGATTCAGGTTCCTCGTACTGATCGGGTAGAAGAACTTCAATATCCCCATCATAGCCCATGTCATCGGCAGAGATTTCTTCGACTGAATATCCGTCGCTGGACTCTCGCCGGGGCCGTTTCCTCCTATACCTCTGTAACGCCATTGACTCTCCGGATGTTCGGTTATCGGTCATTGAATTTCCTTTCGACCCTCTGTTTGAGACAGACTTTTCTGTCATTAGCTTTGCTCGCTGCGGCCCTCCTCATCTCAGAGTTGGTTCAATAGAAGCTGTACAGCCAATCCGCGGCATCCTCACAGACATAAAAGCAGAAACCCGCCGAATCGGTTTGCCGGTGATATCCTGTCGATGAAGCTAGTTTTGGTCTCGTTGGTCAGGCTTCGTTTAGATGCGGCCGGCGAGGGACTTTCACTTTGCAAGTCCACACCGGTGACTTGGCCCGAGGTCATCGATATGTACTTGTACAACCATACCGTCGACACGCCACAAGCATCTGAGGCCACTGCTGGGAGCGTAGAAGATTCTGTCAGGCAGCAAGTCGCTCTCGTGTCACCAGTGTCTGGTCTAACTACTTACGTCATTCTATCGGCTTCTATTTGGTGCGACAAACCCACGACGAACTTCCACTCAAGGGTGCCACTGCTGCCGCTTTATAGGCCGCCATATGCCCCCAATCAGGGTCCGATCCACCCTCGGATTATCCAAGCTTTCTTAATCAAGACTCAGTCAAATATCAGATTGAATATTCTACCTATGACGAGGTAGGGTTTCGGTCTGCTATAGGGGACCCGCTTGCTTGCAAAAGTTTTCAGTCCAGAGATGAGGTGTTGGAAAGATCGGATCTGTACCAGACACAGCAATTCTGAGACTCAGCGGTAGGGAACGAGATGACCACGCCGCTTGCGGCTTGCCACTCCAAAAGTCTTCTCCTGAGGCCTCAGGTCGGAGTATATGGCTGGCGAACGGACATGCTGTCCAAAACCTCCCGACGAAGAGAAACTCGCCTATTCCCTCGGCCAGGCCTCTCAGGACTTTCAGGTTTATTGTCATCGACGTGGCTCATATATGCCTTGTGCTGGGTGTCCTAAAGGCCATCGTGGTCCAGGTTGTAGTAAGTTTTTATCGTATATGAATATGGAGGAGTTGAGTAAGTACTATGTATGTCACCAAACCCACTGCCATTTGTTATGCATGCACAAACAAAAATCTGTTTAGATTTCCTTATTCTGTCTTCCACCATAACAGCACAGAATCAGGAAAGCAACTCGTCCCCCGGTATATGAAACTACTATAGATGTCCACTTGTTGCTTCACTATGAGCACGGCATGACTGTCGGTTCTAAACTTGAAAGGTTATGATTTTGGGGGGCTCAATATGGATATGCACGTACTTGGTCAGCACCGGTAGGACACTGAGGTCACCTATGCGCAGGTTCGAGACGCCCAAGACACGGAAGCTAGTATCCACACAAGCCTTAGGGTCACCGGTCTTCCCCATGTTCACAGTGCTCGACATGTGCAAGTGCTTGTGGAGTGCTGGCACCAGAATTCGACAATGTCCTCCTCTGACTCGCTTTCAGGCGCCGATAGAGGTCACTCTGTGTCCTTCGCGTAGGCCGGGCTCCGAATGATCCCAGGTACCCCACGATACGCCCCAACCGCAACCCTTCTGTCGCATGCACTGGAGAAGAGCTTAGGATCGAATGGAAGAGGGACTTTCCGATCCGATGATTGAAGCTCAACGCAGCCTCGACACTGAGAATTCGTCAACAGCATGTAGATTATACTGACTGCTGGTGTGTTTGCGGGTTCGTCGAAGTAGCCGGACAACGGAGCGTTCAGGGTGATCTCATAAGACGGAACTGTCGGTTGCAAGAGATGTCGCCTTGTCTTAGGGGGTAAGTCTTTGAACTTGTTGCTGTCGTAAACATTCTTTGATTTGAAAATTCCAATGCCCATGCAGGTCGAAATGCTGGCCAAGGGGCCTGTTCGACTTCCTTCCCACTCACGGCGTGCTGCTTCCTGGGCTTTCCTATGCCGACAATACTGCGGTCGTGTAGTTGTGCCCTCGGCTCGTTGCCAGGCACAACTTATATGGTAATAATCTTGAAGATTCTGCCCAAAATATGGGCTATCGACCAGTACTGGAGTCTAGTATCGCCGCAATTGATCCGCTGGCCCCATCCGCGAATCCGTAAGTACTCGTGGAGTGTCCAAAGTAACCGCGGTCGGAATGACTTCTTTAGAAGCAAGGAATCTCCGTCCATCCAGCGTCTCCACCCCAACAGCCCGGAATAAGACGATGGTGGCAATCTGGGCATCTGTGGCTACCTGCAGGTTTCTGGGCGCTCTAGCCAGAAAGCCTGACGCATTTGTTCGCTCACCCTTTTACACCGTATTGGAGCATACTACGAGTCCTAGGGGATTCCCCGCTGTTTGTGTCCAGGTTAGAAACAACACAAGCCTCAAAAAGCCGATCCATCTCTTTCGTGAAGCTGGGCTACCACACAGCTGGAAATCCGATTTTCAAAGGGCCTTGACGGCCGTGGATCTCTAGGTTTGGTCCAAGGTACTTGCCAACACCATCGGGAATGTGTGGGGTGAAAATCTTACAGGTCTCGAGTCTCTTGTATCTTTGCCGGGTCTTTCTCACTTCCACTCATCGTCACCGACCAGGCGAGCAATATCATCGTGGTCATCTTTGGGAGCGACAGTGCAACATCAAAAGTTTATCACACTACTTCCGCCAAGGCTTCTTCAACGGCCGTAGTCGAGTTGTCCAACATTCAAGTGTTCTTGTGGTTGAGTCAAGTAATTCCATTTGCCCTGTAGGCCGCACAGTAGATTCGGCCAAACGTGCAGCTGCTACGCAGCCTGCTGTCCCGCCACCGACTATGACGAAATCCGATGTCTGATCTGAAGCAATTGGGCGCTGGCTGGTGCAAATAGTTGGAAATACCAAGAATCGAGATACAGTGATATAGACGGGGACCACAACATTCAGAACCTCAGGGCAGAACATTAGTCTTTCCATCAGCCTTGAGTACTATTGGGATATCATACCTTCCGAAATCAAATTGGATGACGCCAAGTCTGGACCAAGTCAACCAGACAGCAGCTCGTGATCTCTCCTGAGCAAAATCTTGTAAGCAAGTTACTACACCTCCCTTATACATACGACTTCATCCATCTCATGGTACCAGCCCTCATCCAGTCCTAAGTCTTGTTGAATCGATTCTACGAAAGTTGATAGCTAATTGTCAAAATTAGAGTAGCGAATGAGAGGTTATGGGGACAGGAAAACAAATGAGACAGCCCTACGAAAGTATGGTCTCCACACATTAACGAGAATGGGGTGTCTACTCTTGTGGAGAAAACAGCCGGGGGGCAATTTCCAAAGCACGCTCAATTCCATCACAGAGCGTCAACAAATACGATCGGGATCTCCCCGAGCCGGAGTACAGAGAATACCGAGAGATTTTTCAGCTCTTCTGGGAAATGGAGCTTCCAGCCAAGGGCGAGAGTAAGACTCCGCCTGTAACTGACGTAGAGTCGGTGGACCCTAAACCTGGGGTCCAATGACCAAGGTAGGTATGGTTGAATTAGTAGATTAACCCCTAAGCTTGCCGAGTACGGGACCAGTGGTGCCGGCTCTGGGTCACCTTCCTAAGCTCAAATTAAATGAATTGAGGTACGGTATTACGCTGTCCTTCTCTGTGGTCGACATATTGCCCTCAAAGCCAGACGCGGTTGGGAAAGCAACGTTATTGAGCATAAACTTCCGCTTTCTGTTTTGTTTACGGTTGAACCGCGGCCGAAAATGACGTCGAAATCAAGCTTCGCCGATTTTGAAGGTTTTGGAAAATACTACAACATCATCGATGGTAAGCTCAGCGAGACACCCAGTACCACACATAACATCAACCCGGCTACGGGCAAGGCAAACGCAGAGGTGCCATTGTCTAGACCCCAAGATGTTGACGATGCTATGAAAGCTGCCCAATGCGCATTCAAATACTGGGCCAAAGTGCCCTTTGCGCAGTGACGAAAGGCCGTTCTTGCAAGTACCGACGCCATCGAGAGCCATCGAGGCGCTTTTGCAAAACTGATGACACAGGAACAAGGAAAAACAGCAAATAGCAGACACTATTTCGCTCACTGGAGTTATAGCTATCCTCGCCAAGTCGCATTTGCTAAGGGCCAGATCGCAGCCTTGGTAGGATGGATTCGGACACTCCCAGACATCGACTTGAGGGACGAGATTATACAAGAAGACGACGAAAAGTTGACAATCACTCGATATACGCCACTGGGCGTCGCCGTCGGCTTTGTCCCTTGGAACTTCCCCATCCACATCGGTCGCGTGAAAATTATACCTTTAGTTCTAGCTGGAAACCCGATCATGATCAAACCCTCCCCCGTCTCGCCGTATTGCAATCTAAAGCTCGTCGAGTTGGCCCAACAATTTTTTCCCTCCAGGTGTTGCCCAAGCGTTGAGTGGTGATGACAACCTTGGGCCTTTGCTTGTAGCACACCCTGGGATTCCAAAGACTGGGAATGACTCCGGACAGCGACAGCGCCAGCGATTTCGTACCACAGCGAATTCGCTTAATACTTGGCAGAAACAGACACCCCCAAATTTAGCTGGCGTTCGTTTCTTCTAGTCACACTTCGTATATAAGTCGTGTACATATATAGTTTAAATATATTGTAACAATGCAAAGCGGCTGTGCTGGGCTGGGCTGGTAGAGTGGTGGCAGGGGGTGAGTTGTCTAGTCACATTTTCAACCCAAAATGGGCTGGTAGGAGGAGTGCGGAACAGTTTACAGTGCTGGAAGAGTGCCATTCATAACAGTTCGGGCAGAGTATCATGAATCCCATGGCCTTTTGGTGCCGTCTATCTACTTCCTGAGTGTTTTGTCAGTCCTGTCCTGCTCCTCGATGCCGGTGACGCGCTAGGTGTGCGTTGTCCTAGCCGCCGCCTCTCTGGGTGGTCTTGGTGGTGGTGTTGTCTTGCCAGCGCCAACCAAAAACGCGTTCTTGATTTGCGACCTGCTGGACAGGCCTCTGTGCGTTGTTGCACGTCCACGCCGAACCCTGAAGTGCTCTGTTACAATATACCCTTGGTTCTTTCTAGGAAGGTCTTCGTGCGGGTGTCTCGGCTCTATTTACCATATTTACGCTTTCTGATCATGTTCTTGCAGGAGACCTGATGACCCCAGGACCTTATGTCACACCTTTGATCGTGAGCGCAGTTCTTGCTCAAGCGGCACGATACTCTGACCGGGCATACGCTGCGTACCTGGGGCAGTTCTTTGCTGAGCGGACAGAAACTTGATGTCGGCGGAGATAGCTAAAGGAAACTCAGTTCCCACTATTCAAGGCCTGCTCATATTCTCCATGCATGAAAGTATCATCGGCCGCTCTTCTTAGGCGTGGTTGTATTCTGGGATGGCTTTTCGGATGATAATAACGGACATGGGCATAAACCTCCACGACCAGAAATTGAACCTAGGAGGGCAGTTCTTTCAAGTAGAGCTAGCCCTCCGCTGGCAGATCATGTGGAGCTGCTACACCTGTGACAAGACCCTCAGTTTGTTACTAGGAAGGGCGCCGATAGTCCACGATCTTGTTCCGTTACTGACAGTTGAGAGCATGCTCGACGGAGTTGAAGTGGAGGAAGAGGAGTGGCGCCCGAGATTCGCCACAATATCGGCGCTTGAGTTTGGTGTATATCATCTTGAAGTATGAAAACAAACCCCTTGTCCAACTTATTAGTCGCCCTCTTCTCCAGCATGGATTTGGCAGCTGCCCCAGACCCAGAGCTTTTCCACTCGCATTCATACTAATACGCAACCTTCAACAACAACAGCGACCGGCTCCGGAATCATGAAGTCCATGTTCAGCCTCTGACGACTTCCATCACCAATCTACCATGTGCCAGATACTACTGCCACGTTGGACAGGGGAATTTTGCTAGGCAATGGCAACGAGCTGCCACCGTCATTTTTTGATACCGAGCTACCTTTGTTCGACAACGACCGAGCCTTCTTCGGCGCTGAACAACTCTTCTTTAGCAACAATAACGCCTCTGATCTCTGTAGAAGCACATCCGCCGTAGTGGGGACGAACCATTGATTATTACGAGTCCCAGTTCGTGAACGGCCCAGCCAATGCTGTTTTGGGGGCGGCTGACGGGAGAGTGGGAATCAACTTGCGTTCCATTATGGGAACCCAGAAATTGCACCATGTACCGGTCTCATCATAGCCAAGTTGGCTGCTGTATATACTAGGTGAACAATATTCTTATGGCACCCCCGAACCGCGCTTTTGGCATCCTTTGTCGCATACATGGAAACTATACCTTTTTGCCCTTCAAGCCGCCCAGCTTAAGCCAAAGTAGGGTATAAACGACAAAGCCGCCTCCCATCAACGCACCGCTAAATCCCTGCATACTCCTGTATCCATCGTTTGAAATCAGCTGGCCCCCAATGGGCGATCCGATCAACACCGCCACCGCAACCACACTGAACAAACACCCCGTCCGCACACCAATTTGGCTGATATGGCTTATCTGCGCCACGCAGCTCGGCAAGATACTGGCCGTTGCCCCAGAGCTGAATCCGAAGATGACGCAAAAGACGACGGTGGGCGCCGTGCCAGAAGAAGGGACCCAGAGGCAGAGGATTATGAGGAATGAGAGGAGTGACATTGACAAGAACACCGTGAAGCGGCCCAGCCGGTCGGCGAAGAACGGAGGTATTGTACGTCCGAATGTGCTGGCGGCGTTGAGGATCGCCACCAGATATTTGGCGAGAGAGTTCGGGACGCCCCGGGCACGAGCGGCAAGGATGATGAAGGTGAAAGGGAGGAAGAGGCCTGTTGGCAAAGGTTTTCGGTTAGCAACCAAGCTTGTTGCACATAAAATCGGTTCCAACGAAAAATAGGATGTGAAGACACATACCCAAGAAAGTCAAGAAGCTCCCCAGCGCCAATAATGCAAAATTCCCCTCCATAAACGGGTTGACAAAATCCATGGGCTTGACGGGCCTCGCCATGGGTGAAATGCGACTGACGAGAGTCAGATTGCCCAGGATCATCAGCCCCAGAATCAAAAAGGCGCAAATGCGCATAGTCCAGCCAAACCCCACCTCGGGGATCAGCTTTTCGACCATGACAGGGAATATCACACCGCCGATACTCGACCCTGTGGCCGCGATGCCCAATGCAAGGGAGCGGCGGCGGAAAAACCATGTTACAACGCAGGACATGGATGGGTAAAAGATCATCGACGCCCCCAACGCAGAGCACACGCCTTGGGAGAGCAAGAATTGATAGTATTTGTGGGAAATGGAGGCCATCATCAGACCAAAGACGTGCAAGAATGTGCCGAGGAGAAGGAGGATGCGAGGGCCATAGTTGTCTGTTGCCCACACCGTTAGATTCATATAGACGGCCAGCGGAGATAACAACGAGCACGGGACGGTGCATGAAGAGACAGAAAGGAGACGTACCATATACTCTGCCAACCCAGAGGCCACCGACGAACATCATAAACGCCTCGAGAGACGGGATCCAAGCTATTTCCTGCGACGAATAGTCTTTGAGTTGGTGCGCTTCATAGTACTCCTGAAAGACACCGATGCCTGTGTCGAGAGACGCGGTTAGAACGAAGCCCGGGTAGCATCCTCGGGCATCGGACTTAGACTCACAATTGATCCAGCCGAAACTGACGAAAATGCCACATGCAGCTCCAAACACGACCGTCCATGCCTTGGGTCCTCCTTCTGGAAGCTGCGATGGGTCCATGGGATTGGCAGCTTGAGATATAGGAACATCGTCACCACTGAATCCGCCAACCTTGTCCTCGCTCTGCATAGTCACGACCTGGTTGGAGGTAGAATTGGCCATGACCTCTGCGGTTTTCTCTAGGTCTTTGTCCATTGCCGGGTCCATCACGCTTGAGCTGCTTGATATTGCTACTGTGGTCTCGTTGGAGGCAATTGCTGTCTCTGGCCTGTGCAATTGACTGGAGGCCTCCGAACTCTTTAGCGAAGGGCTGTAGGCATCCGTGTGGGGATTCGCCATTTCAATGAAACTGCTCGTGACTGGAAGAGAGAGAAAAGGGAGAAAGATGGTTTGCTCGATGTATGGAGGGCAAAGGGTGACTCACAAACAGTCTATGAACTTTTTGTCTTTCCAAAGCCTTACGTAGCAAAGGGTCGGGTGGACCACCAATGATGAGTTTAGCCTATGTCACAGCACAGAGATTGATAATGGTGTACAAGAACCGACGAATGAGGCTGGACTTCGTTGAGGCAGTCTGTTGCTTCCTGCTCATAGCCTCTAAAATTGGCACTGCTCGGGGCGAGTTACAGCTCGACAGCCAGGGCGGACATCGACCCTCGTCCTTCGAACGCAGTTTGAACGAGAACTGGTCGTGCAACCCCTCGTCTTTGCACCATTTCAAGGCGCAAAGGAGCTCGAAACATCATTGGAAGGTTGACGGACGAAATCGACCGAGCGGGCGCAGCGGCATGTACGAAAGCGCGAACAGCTATCGACTGTACTTGTGCTTGTAGAGGGGACCACATCTCGGAGATATGGGAACAGCGAGTGTCCGAGGCGATCGACGAGGCTGAAAAGGGAATGGCGACACGGGTGACCAGAAAATTACCTTGAAACACTATCGTACTTGTAGGTACAGGTACTGTAGCGAGTACGAGGGGCTTCAGCCGTCGCTGCTATGCTCCTCTTGGTTGGTGTCTAGACTTGAGCTCTGCGAAGCGGATGATGGGCGAGGTTTGCAGGCCTTGTCAGGCCTTCCATCCTGTGTCCTTGTTGATGGACAATATCTACGGAGGATGGACAATATCTACGGAGGATGGACAATATCTACGGAGGATGGACAATATCTACGGAGGATGGACAATATCTACGGAGGATGGACAA